GTTACATTGCTGCTCTTTAGACACATGATGGAGCAGTTGAGGTAACTTCAGACATTTCTCTGCAACGTGGCCTACATGACTAAAAGACATAAGTGATGACAACATATTGGAATACAAAATGATGGCGCTTCAATTATCTTTGTGACATTATCGACATTATAGTTCTATAGTTATATTAGAGTTGCTTTGTCAATAAACACAAACATTCCCAAGCTCCAGGCTCTAAATTGTGAGGGTTTGCTTCTTTTCTTCGCCTCATGTGACAGTAAACTGAATATCTTTGGATGGAAAAATCAAGACATATAAAGATGTGTTGGGCCTTTTCCTCCATTTTCTGGTCATTTTATAGATGAGACAAATTAATAGTTGATGAAAATAATTGTTAGTTGCAGCCCCACTCACTTACAGTATTTAAATAATGTTGGGATTATATTGATTTATCGTCCATTATGCTGCGATAAAAGCTTCACACAGAAACACATCAGGTGATTAATCAGCATTTCTTCCTGAATCTGTTAAACACATTGTCTGCACCCAACTGAAAATTCAACACTGTTAAAGCGCAGGAGACGAACACCTGTTTCTAGGGAAACTCATCCACGTTGTTTCACTTTTCATACTTATTACATTTCATGTAACACATTTATTTATAAACTTCACAGCAGAAACAAATGTGCCAAACATCCAACATACAAAACCTTAATGAAAAATGGATGTGCGGATATTTGTTTGTGGGAAAGTCGCTGATTTAAATGTCGGGAACTAAACATTGATCATGTCATGATCTACTTTAGTCTTGAATTCATAGCTTGTTTCCTTTTTCTACACTCTATTGATGCATTTTATCAGTTTGCTGCATCTGTGTTTCTTTTTCTTTTCAAGACAGATAAAAGTCAAGCGAATCACTTCCACCAGTTGTTCCAGATCCTGCTCGCTATGGGACATTCTTGGGCTGACAGGTAGCAGCAAAAATACCATAACCACACACATAACATAGACAGGCAGCGGTGAAATGTAACCAAGTACATTTCCTCATTTATTTCAGTACATTTCTGAGGTGCTTTTTATATATGTTTTGTATACTTTTTATGCTACTTTAAACCTCCACTGCACTAAATTTGAGAGGAAACTGATTTTTTTTACTCCATTACTTTTATCTGACGTCAATAGTTACTATTTAGATAGATAGATAGATAGATAGATAGATAGATAGATAACTTTAT